GATAACAACATATTAGTTTTGGACAGTATATAAATTGTTTTTGTAGATTCGTGTGTGGTTTTGATAACAAGCAATTAACTGCTTTAGTGATACCTTCTGGCTTTGTATACAAAAATGACATTAATTCCACTATTACTTGTAGTTAGTAACAGTTTCCTTCCCCAAAAGTCATTTTGAGTTAATGTTTTCCATTTTTTAAAAAAATATTATCACATTGAAAATAACAGAGAAGTAAATACAGAATTGTCATGGAATTCCATGAGTGATTTTTTTCACGGGACTTCTGCAAGCTGAGCAAGACTGTGATAAAGATGACAGATATTTGAGAAATCATGTTTAGTCAAAAAATGCAGAGGACATACCATGACAAAAGGAAGAGAGAACAACATGATGTTTGGTGTTTCACTGTTGCATGTTACATTATTTAAAGATCTTACCATTTCCTATTTATTGGTACTTATTGGTACAGTATCAGTAATACATTGAATTAAATTGATGTTTCATAAACTGTCAATAAAATTGGTAGTACAGAATAGACATGTTGCTTCTACTCACAAAATGTGAACTTATATTGGGAAGTCTTTTCAAAAAATTTGTATTGTCATAAATGAAACAAAAAAGTCTGACCTTGGTAGATTTGGTGCAGTGCTGAAGACAGCACTAGCTGTTGTTTTTAAAATCACAAATATATTTGCTTTAAATTTTCCCATAAAATGATTACTGGCTAATAGACATTTCTGTGACGATGCACACAGTGACAAATAATGCATCAGGTGGAGTGCTGGGCTGAGGAATACTCGTGCCTGGAGAACAAATGTGGTTCATGAGTCTGGGAAACTGCATTTATCTTGTGTTCTTACAATGATGCCATTTTCCCTTGCAGGTTACAGACAATGTAGAAATTTCAGCAGTTGTCAAATCTGATTATCAGTTAAAGATTCAGATAACATACTACAATCCCACCAAGTCATCAGTGTAATCCATTAGGATGGACATGAGTCAAGTCTGTTGGGATCATCTTACATTCAAAGAGTATCAGGGCACATGGGCTGTTAGCTTCCCCAGGAGCTATCGTCAGTTGCCCCAATCCTGTCCCAGGAAGTGTCAGAGTCTATGTACATGTGCATTTTCTGTTGTGCGTAGGCACCTGGTCATTGAGTAACTACCTCAAAATATTTCCTGTAGATTCTGGTGCCACACTTCCTGTTTTTTCACCAAGGGATCACAAGCTGAACCCAAATCCTTGGATCTGGTCATTTTATTTTCTCCATGCTAAAGTGATTGAAGGCCTTTCATTTTCACTTCAAAAGCTAACCTCAGAAAGCCACCTTTCAGTTCAATCTGCTTGGGTTATAGACTGAAGCAGACTTTGTTCTTGAAAAAAATCCCCTTCATGTGCCTCTCACCTTCTCCACATGCTTAAATCTGACCTCTCCAGAATCATCAGCCTGAACTTCAAATATCATTGGAGGAGGCTGGTACAGATGCTGCCTGTTAGAACAGGATTGATCAGGCACCAACCTCTACAGAGCAGGTGATACTTTAATCAGATCTTTAAGGCGGAGATCCTCTGTGAGAACAGAGACTGTGAACACTGAGACACAGTTAGGATGGGGTAGGGTATAAGCAGAAAAGAAACTTTTGGGGTGGAAGATTTCATAAGCAGTTATGTTCTCTTGAAGTCTCAATGCATTAAATACCAAGAGATGTTGATATGTCGATCTTTTTTATCAGGAACAACTAGAACCTTTCTTCCCATAGATGGTGTTCTCAGCATGTCAGCTTTCGTGTCTTCAGTTGCTCAGCTTACCCGAGACTTTTAGGCCATCAATCTTCCAGTGCTGTTACTGGCCTTTCTGTGTCTCACAGAGGACCACTTCTCACCTGTCTTCCTACTTTCTCCAAATATATGTCCTCCCAGCCTAGGGCTCAGTATTTTTTGTTTGTTTGTTTGTTTGTTTTTCCGAGACAAGGTGTCTCTGTGTAGCTTTGGAGCCTATCCTGGCACTCGCTCTGGAGACCAGACTGGCCTCGAACTCACAGAGATCCGCCTGCCTCTGCCTCCTGAGTGCTGGGATTAAAGGCATGTGCCACCAACGCCTGGCTAGGGCTCAGTATTTCTAATCAGTTCAGTTAAGGACATCCTGCTGATGATTTAAAGGTTTTTTAACTGATAAAATAGTCAAACATATCTCCTGCGTTTGATGTGGATTGATGTTCAGAGGCACAATTTCTTTGTCATCGCACACAAAAAAAAAAACAAACTTCATACTGTTACTCTTATGAAAGTATCTTTAAAATTGGTGTTACAAGTATTTCAGAAGGAGAAAAAATTAAAATAACATTTTTAAAATTATTGCGAAATTAGAATAATGGTGTTCCAGAACTTAACTTAGTTTTGTGTTTTATACAACATTTTAAATATTTATAGAAATGTGCATATGGGATAACCATTATAGTCATAATGACTCAAATAGAGAGAAATAAAGGTTAAATTGTTATTGATTTATTTTCCTTGATTGATTTCATTATGCATAATAATTATAAAACCAGGATGTCAATGAAAAAATGTAAAGAGTACTGAAATTTCCAAAAATACACCTGAAGAAACACTGGCTCTGAGATGAAGATACTGCTCCTCTCTCTTTGCAACTTATTTTTTACTTTGGGTTGTGAGTGAAGTGTATTGGAATTGTCCTTGGTGCCCTATGACTTGTCTGAAAAGATGGTCTTTCCCAAGGGGTATGTGAAATGTGGAATCCTATGGTGTTTTCAATGCAGAATAAAAGGTTCGGCAAAGAGCCTCAGGGGAAGAACAGGACTCCCTTGCAGGAAACAGAGTTCTCTTTTCTGATGGCTTGTGTGAATGGTCTAGAGAATGATCTATTACAGACATACATTGGATTTTGGGTGAGTGAGATTATTATGCAATCAAAGTAAAAGAACAAATTGGAAGATATAGAAAAATGACACAATATCATGTCCAACATGAAAATATCCAGCAGAAATCAACTGTGAAAGCCCCTTTTGGACAACCAAATGTGGTTCCCATTAGATAGTTTCAGGCAATGAAAAATGTTCCTTCAGCTGAGACTTCTAAGGAAAAGGAGACATAGCAACAGAAATAACATCCTGATATATAGTGCTCACAGCATCCAGCAGAAACCTGACTGGGGAAGGTGAAGTAGTCACCCGGAGCTCCCAGTTGAGATTTTCCTCAAGAAATGAAATTCTCAAGGCTGCAATTTAAGCTCCCCCCTTTTCACTTTCAGCATCTTATAATAGCAGTTATATGTTAGAAATGGTTTGCCTTTTACTATTATCAAGAACGCAGTGTTTTTGCTCTTGGGATGTTTGTTTTCCCTTATTTCTGAACTAGAGGGGTAGCCCATACCTAGAGAAGAGACTTTGGAGGTTGTTTTGAATCGAACATGCTTGGGACAGAAATGAAGGGGGAAGATTACTCCCCGAGCCATAGTCCCAGTGAGCTTTAATAGTAGGTACCAATTTGACAGTAAAGCCCATAGCCCATAAAGCACCATTACCATCACCACTCTGCACAGCCACACCTCTAGGTGTTTGCATTTCTGTTGCTTTTCTTACTTGAGCTCATCTTTGCAACCTGGAAGACCGGTCAGTGTTCCTGCCCCAGGAGGTAGGTGCATTTTTCAACTCTTAGAAAATGACTCAACATTTCCCCCATTCTATCCTTTTATCCATTCTTTGTATACCCTTCATTTAAATGCTGTAAAATTGTGAGAATTTTAAAAATATATTGATTTTTTAGTTGATAATTGATTTAGGAAACGGACAGTAGTACTGGACCTTCATACTGAAATGCCACGTGTGTTTCTCTTTGATCTGTAAGACTAATGATATGTATTTTCCTTTTACTTTTGGCAGTTGTTCTTAAACTTATTTCCTGGCTCCTCAATTGACTCTAGATATTGATCAACTATTGTGTCACAATGCTCATTTACTTTTTAAACTTACCTAGCCTGTTTTATCTGCCTTGGTTCCTGTGAAACATGGTAACTGAACAGATGTAGGAGGAAGGTGTGGGACAGTATGTCTCATTTGATGGTAACCAGGCACTCATCCAGAAATCAAGCAAGCCAGGGGAAGGCAGAGAATGTGGAGAATTCCTGCTGAATGACTCATCTCTGTTCAGTGCCTGTTTGCTAGCACAACACAAAGGCTTATACCAGTCTACATGTATGGGTTGATTAGTTCCAAGTTTGATGAAGTTACATTAATTCTGAGGTAATTATATAGCAAATAATTTTCAATAGTAATGAGTAATTGTCTCAGGACCATGCACAGGCTGAATGTCCAATAAAAATCGAGAATGTGTGGAAAGGTTTGAATGTGATACAGATGATTATGATTCAAATAAATGTATATTTTGTATATATTTATGCATATGTCTCAAAAAACTTTGTAAAACAATATGCATGTAGTGTTATCTCCTTAGTGCTAAAATTCAGATGAATTTTAATCTCTGTGATGTTATCAGACAAATCCAAATGTCGGTTTGAAGAGTTTCAGCACAACACTAATAATGTTCAATGGTCTGTCACCCCCAGTGCACAGACAACTCTCTACAGAAGTTTGGGGTCTGGTTGCCTTCTTTATGTTAGAGTTTGTGATGTCCATAACTACAGCTGCCAGATTAAATGTTATTAAATCAAAATCAGGGAATCAATACAAATAATATGTATTTATTTTCATCTTTGCACATTAAATTTTTTATTTCCTTTAGAATTCACTCAAAAATACTCCATACCACCTGGTCTAAGATCGAGCTTCATTGAACTTAATGGGGGGGGGGTAAAAAATCACTCTAAGAAAGAGATGTAGTATGAGCCTATTGTCAAAGCTTGATGTTTGCATACAATATTTGTAAATGTGCGTATGTATGTTTTAAGGATTCGAGACTGGGCTACAACTCTTCAAATTTTCTACAGTGACCCAAGGATTTATAACTTTCCTTAAAGTCAATGGATGACATCATACAGAGCACACTTATATTCATTGTGATTGTAGAAATCGTATTAGGATGCTTGGGAAATGGGTTCATAGCTCTGGTGAACTGCCTGGAGTGGGTCAAGAGAAGAAAGATCTCTACAGTGAATCAGCTCCTCACAGCCCTGGCTTTCTCCAGAATCGCCCTTCTTTTGACAGTACTCACTGCTCTCTCGGTGTCCATACGGTACTCAGACATGGTGATGACTAGAAGAGTGATCAAACTGATTAACTTTCACTTGATTTTCAGCAACCATTTTAGCATGTGGCTTGCTGCATGCCTCAGCCTCTTTTATTTTCTCAAAATAGCCAACTTTTCTAACACTATCTTTGTTTACTTAAAGACAAGAGTGAACCAGGTGGTTTCAGGGACTTTGCTCATGTCTCTGGCCCTCTTGTTTCTAAACACTCTACTAATTAACTCATATATCGATGCCCAGATGGGTCGCTATAGAGGATATCTGTTATATGATTTCTCTTCAAACAGTTCTGCAGAATTTTTCAGGGCTATTTTAATAATTAACGATGGTATTTTTACCACCATACCCTTCACACTTTCCCAATTAACTTTTCTCCTGCTCATTTTCTCCCTGTGGAGACATCACAAGAAGATGAAGAAGCATGGTCAAAGAGGCAGAGATGCCCGTGCCAATGCCCACATCAAAGCCTTGCAAACCATGATCACCTATGCTCTTCTCTGTGCCATTTTCTTTCTGGCTCTTTTCATGCAAATTTGGAGGACTGAGTTGATGAACATTATTTACATTAGGCTATGCCAGATTGCTGCAGCAGCTTTTCCTTCAGGACATTCTTGTGTCTTGATCCATGGAAACACAAAGCTGAGACAAGCCTTTCTTTCTGTGCTGTGGTGGGTGAGGTGCAGGCTTAAAGATATTCACCCAATGGCTCTCTAAAATATATTGGAGATGATGCTACTTATTCTAGAGGAAGCTCAGTGCGTAAGAAATCCATCCAGATCATTACATTTTCTTTCAAAACATTTTTCATTTCATAATGCTTTATCAATTTTATGTTATACTTATACCTGATGTAAATACTATGCAATAATATTTACATAGTACACATTTGTGATTTTAAATTACTAGGCTATAATGTATAAGATATAGCATACATTTAGATATTAGATGACATAAAATGAGTTTTTGTTTAGGGTTAAATTAGAGTTTTGGCAAATACCAAGAATCATGACGATACTTTATTGCAATTATAATAATTAGTTCCAAGTTATTATTATTATAACTAGTACCTAAAGTACTAGTTTCAGAATTGAAAATTCTTAAAATACATTTATTATTTCAGCCATATAAAGTGTATTTGTAAATACAGTGTATTTTTTCATGTTTCAGCTATGTGTTATAATTCTTTTTAATGTTTAATATTTAAAATAAAGTATGACTTATGATAATTTTATTAAATGTTAATTAAACATTGATGCTTTCTAACACTTTATGTCATCATGTACCTATATTATATCCCAGCTAAAACTGCACAGATTTTTCAAATGAATAGAAATATACAATGTTTTATGAGTGGTCAACTTATAATCAGCATGAACTCTTTTAAAATTATTTATTTTTGTGTTTACATGTGTGTGTGTGTGTGTGTGTGTGTGTGTGTGTGTGTGTGTGCTCCCGTGCATGCATGTGCACACATGCACAAACACTTAAAAGCAAAAACATCCGTGTAAAGGTTAGAGGATTGCTGGCAGAAGTTGGCTTTTTCTTTCCACCCTCTAGGTTCTAGAGATGAAATGTGTGTCATTAGACTTGGCAGAAACATTACCCACTGAGCCAACTCATCCATTTTGATGTGTTCTTAGCATTTTGTACATTGTAGGAATTAAATGAATGTCTAAAACATATAAAAAGGTTAAAATGTTCTAAGCCACCAAACAGGGGAAGCATGTCTTATGCCTATATTAGGATGTTAAATGAATGCTAACATACAATTGTACTTGTTTTAGAATTAAAGAATCCTTTAACATTATATGTGGATGTTATAAAATCAATATTTATTTGTTGATAATCGTGGCTAGGACCTTGTGCATACCCAGCAAGCATGCTTCCAACAAGCTACACCCTTTGCAGCTCACCCTCAGCATCCATACAGTATGGGCACTCACAGATATTTCATGTGAAGAAGCAGGCCAGTTTCTAAAAGGATAAAGATCTTATGCTATTGTATGTAAAATAACACATGTATCAGAAAGGCTTTATGCCAAATTCAGATGAACACCAACAGGAAAATGATCCTTCCAGGCACACCTAAAATCTGGTAGAAAAAAAACATGCGATGAAAATGCAATTTTTATGACTGTATTTAATGATTTTTTCCTTTAATGATTGATGCATGGTGAATATGTATACAGAAAACAAGGTAGTTGTGTCTTTTCCTAGTTAGAAAGCAGCTTCCTTATAGATTTGCTTTGAGTTTTAAGCTCATTTTTTGTTCCTTACATATAGAACATCATAGTCTTCTTATTACGATTTATCATACTATATTATTATATAAAGTGTATGGAGTAATTGTAAAGCTCTGCTTTACAATGGAAGCATTACCAGTGTTTCACCAGTCAGCATAATACTGCTGTTAGCTAGAGACAAATATTTTTAAGTTATATTTAGATAGAATATTTATCTTTTTATATGAAACCATTATCTGTACACTTAATATACACTAAATAAAACAGGGATATTACTTTGTGACTTTCTCTTTTTTGCGTGACTTTCTCTTAATGATATTTATTTATTTCATTTTATGTGTGTATGTGTGTGCTTGGGCTTAGGTATATGACCACTTATGAACATGATAATAAGTCCAGAGAAAGCACAAACTCTCCTGGAATTGAAGTTACAGTTGGTTGTGAAGCAACTTTTGGGTGCTGGAAATCACTATAAAAGCAGTAAATACACTTAACCCTAAGCTATTTTTCTAGCTCTGGGATAGTCTTTTCTTAATTAATTTATTTATTTTACATCCTGACCATAGTTTGCTCTCCCTCTTCTCTTCCTATTCCCTTCCCCACCACTTCTCCACTCCCCCAATCCAGTCTGTCTCTGTTTCTGTTCAGAAAGGGGCAGACCTTCCATGGATATCAACGAAGCAAGTATATCAAGGTATGGTAAGAATAAACATCTGCCTTTGTATCAATCTACCATGAGGAATAGGTTCCCAAGAACCAGCCAAAGCATTAGGGACAGCCCCTGCTCCCATTGTAAGGAGTCCTACAGTAGACCAAGCCACACAACTATCACATATATGTAGGGGCCCTAGGTTAGTCTCATGCAGACTTCCTGGTAGTTGGTTTAGACTCTGTGAGTTACTATGAGATGGGTTAGTTTTTTCCCCATGGTTTTTCTTGTGATGTCCTTGACCCCTATGATGGCAATAATCCTTCCTCCCTGTCTTCAGCAGGATTCCCTGAGCTCAGCCTAATGTTTGGCCATGAAGCCCTGGGATATTCTAAGATAGGCTATTAAACTCTGGCTAGATGACACAAAATTTCATGAAAGTGCAGTCACATGATATGTATAATGTCACATAGGAAAAATTTGGTACTATCCATGTGGATCTCCTTCTTCCTCATGGATTGCCAGCCACCAGACAGTGAGGGATGAGGGAACAGACAGGAGGAACAGGGTTCAGAGTGCTTGCAAGTACATTGGAAACAGCTTTCCATGAGACAGTTGTCAAGGGAAATGCATTTCAGCTGTATTTCAGAGTGAGTGGAGACACACAGGATTAGAACAGCAGCTGGGCATCACCTAATTTGTATTTGGCAGCACACTCCTATTTTCCAGCTGGAGCAGGATACCTAGTTATCATATGGGCAGCAGGGGGAGAGCATCTGTAGGGATCCATGTCAAAGGTCAGGCATCCAGGCTCGGGAACAGCTTCCAGATGAGGTCAGGCCTCTGAGCCTAGAGACACTACCCAGATAGGGAGTGAGGGAGCCATGCTGTAAAGGGAATCTCCACTTTTCTTCTGAGCCCAGAGAGCTGTCCAGACATAAAGGAATACAACCTTAAGTGCAGTGTACTACAACATATCCACTTTCTTCTGAAAATAATTGTAATAAATGAAAATAATTGTAACATTACCCACTGTACACAACACAGTGGTATATCTTCTAAGTTCATGTACTCTTGAGTACCAAAGAAACACTCCAATTGCATATTTAATAAGAACTTTTCATCCTCAGATGGAACACACGTTCTAGAAAGAATTTGCATAGAAATAACTGATACTCTACTAAGTGGAAAATAACCAGCTTTAATGATTTAAGAAAGCTTTGTGAAGAAAGACAATGGATACATTTGTACAAGTATTAAAAAGTGCAAGTGTGATGTTAATTTGTGGTCAAATGTATGTCCTGTTATCATGATCTGTTAATATCATTTCACATTAAATAAACAAACAAACAAAACAACCCAAGTTGTTTTTGACATGATTGTGTTCATGAAAGATCTTACTTATGGATATATTCAAGAGCCTAGCATGGGGGTGCATACCTATAATCCTAGCCTCAAAAAGGCAGAGTTTTAGGACAATCTGGAAAATACAGTGAGACATTGTCAAAAACTTGCTGCACTTTTTGGCCTTAGAATCCAAATGTTAGAGGTCTAACTCCAATGTGAGTCCATTCAAGGACAGGGCACTTATGTCAGTGAAGATAGATTATTCCATGGAGGTGAAGGCTTGACCTATTAGGTGAGAAGTCCTTATGGGCAAGGATAGATGGTCTGAGTTTGTGCATCCAGAGAAGGGCTATGTGAACTCACAGAAGGTCTTTTGAGAAGGTAGCCTGAATAAACCAGCCAAAAGAGCCCTCACCATTATGAAAGTATACCAGTCCTTAATCTTAGAGGTCTTGCTTCCAGAAAAACCAAGAAAATAAATCTATTGCTTAAGTTCTTAGCTCATGAAACTTTATCAAAGTTTATAAAATATTTGAATGATACTCACCTCCTGAAAAGTGGGGAATAAGCCATTAACCCATTTCTTAGCTTGGCAAATTTTAGTGTCTGCTTATAGTTATTTCATGGAAGCAGGACAGTCCAGAATGTGATTGACATATGAGACAGCATTTCAAATTTTATACAAGGATTTAGAAGCCAAGTTATTTTAGAAAAAATAGATGGCACCATGGTAAGAATATTAATTACTACTTTAACTGTGCAGTTCATAACAGGAAATTTTGAAAGGCCTTTGTCACTTTGGTAAACTGCACAGACAGGGTGAATAAAAGAAAGGCCATCTCTAATGTTTAAAATCCTGGTTGCCCTGGCCATCTCCAGAATTGATTTACTCTGGTGAGCATTCATAAGTGTACTGGTATCTATGATGAACCCTGTGGTGATTTATTGTTAATGATTTAATAAAGCCACTGGAGATCAACATGCAAAGCTAGCCATAGCCATGAAACCAGGTAATGGTGATATACACCTTTAATTCCACCAGCCACACTAGTAAGCTGGGCAGTGGTGGCACAGAACTTTATTCCCGGAGACAAAGGCAGATGGGTCTCTGTGAGTTCAAGGCCACCCAAGTTTACAGTAAAGTGAATCAGCCTAAAAGAGAAACAGCTCATTCAAAGGACATCTCAGCACTTGGGGTCCCACACCTTTAATACCAGCTCTAGAGATATATATATAAGATAGGAGCAGGGCACTCAGTAGTCAATCTCAGAGATTTATTCTCCAGCTATGCTGACGATCAGACAGCCCTTCTGACCTGAGATAGAGGTAAGAGCTAGTGGCTGGCTGCTTTGCGTCTCTGATCTTCAGCTTGAACCCAAGCATCTTTCTCTGGGTTTTTATCACTCGTGTTACAAATTGGTGCCCAATGTAAACGTACTAATTCACGAAAAGCTGCTTGGAAGCCACTGGCCTAG